AGCGTCCGACTTTCGCTTAGGTCATGATCTCGCGGTTCGTGGGTTTGGGCCCCGCGTCGGGCTCTGTGCTGACTGCCAGCTCAGAGCCTGGAGCCTGTTTCAGTCTGTGACTCCCTCTCTCTCTGACCCTCCCCTGCTCATGCTGTCTCTCTCTCTCTCTCTCCTAGAAATAAATAAAACATTTTAAAAAATAAATAAATAAAATAAAGATTAAAAATAATTTTTAAAAAATAATAAAATCTTTTTAAGAGCCCAGCTTTGGGGCACCAGGCTGGCTCAGTTGGGAAAGCATACTACTCTTGATCTCTGCATCATGAGTTTGAGCCTCACGGTGGGTGTGGAGGTTACTTACTTATAAATAAATAAACAAATAAAAAAAAAACCCAGCTTTGCTCTTAGTAGACAACCAAATGAGCATCGAATCAAAGGGGTGAAGAAGGCAGCAATGAGGGGCGCCTGGGTGGCTTAGTCGGTTAAGCGTCCGACTTTCGCTCAGGTCATGATCTCTCAGTTCGTGGGTTTGAGCCCCGCGTCGGGCTCTGTGCTGACAGCCAGCTCAGAGCCTGGAGCCTATTTCGGAGTCTGTATCTCCCTCTCTCTCTGACCCTCCCCTGCTCACGCTGTCTCTCTCTCTCTCTCGCCTAGAAATAAATAAAAATATTAAAAAAAAAAAAAAAGAAGGCAGCAATGAGAAAGACCCACAACATGGAGAGGACTCGACATGGCAAACTTTGATCTCCCCCCACCTTGTGCACAGAAATGTGCAAGGTACTGAGATACCTGCATTATAGAATGGAACTTGTGAGCCAAGATGAATGCAGTAAAGGGAAACAAGCCTGTCAGGCAAGACAGAATGTTATACTGAAGATATACCAAGAAGATGTAGGAATGTGATTAAATGAGATAATGATGTGAAACTGTAAACTATGAAGCAGTAGTGGAAAGGATTATTGTTATTGTTACAAGTGGACTGACATTCCTGAAAGAAAAGTAAAGGATAAATTCTGAGAGTCACAGGGGTGGGAGGTTGGCAAACAGCCCTGTGGAGCCTGATTTCTTTCTTGACTGAGCTCAGCCTGGACCCAAGTGGCAAGGTTGACAGAGTCCTCGGCTAAAGAAGGAAGCCACTGGAAACAAGACAATGTGTTCCCAGATCCCCTTGTTTGCACCTCTGTTGTTACAGTTACCATATTCTGCAAGTTTCTGACACAGTCTGTGTGGGCAATAAACACTCAGAATTTGGTAGCTAGCAGCTATCAAAATTTGAAATTTTGCTACTGCAAATTCAGTAGCAATTGAACCCCCAGGAGCCAGGCCAGTTATGTTCCTCAGTCATATCAGAAATGGGAGCACCAGTCTCTAAAGGTCACACTGAGGAGTGTGAGCTCAAAATGCCTTGTGCGGTGCATGGTGCCCAGTAGGACTCAGGAGCTCTTCCTTTCATTCCAGTCACTAATCAGGATGCTTCCTGAGAGCAGGGATCCAGCCTTATTTCTTTAAGTAACCCCTCAGTGTTATTACAGTTACTGAACTGAACTGGGATCCAAGAGCAGCTCATTGTCCAACCCCTTCATTTTATGTATGAGAAATGGAGAGGCCTAGAAGGTAACTGTGACTTGTTCACATCCCACTGCTACTTTATGGCTGGATCCTAAACTTGCATCGCCTTAATCTCACTTTGGGCCTATGTGCAGGAAAGGGGAGAAGAAGGGGGACCTATGAGTCCTTATGTCAAGTGGAGACGTGTCGACAACCAAAAACTTCCTGAGCCTTATTCCTCTCTTAGGCGAGCTGTGAGAAGAGCAAAGGGCAAGTGGGGGACCATAATCAGGGTCAAGGCCACCAAAATTAACTTTGTCACAGGGAGACTGCAAATGAAGTAAGGTTATTTCAGGGCTATCTTGTGTAATTTCCAGACTGATCCTTAGAAATGTCTGGACCTAGGGGCTCCTGGGTGGCTTAGTCAGTTAAGCAGTCAAGACTCTGACTTCAGCTCATATCATGATCTCACAGCCCATGAGTTCCGAGTCCCACATCCGGCTCTGTGCTGACAGCTCGAAGCCTGGAGCCTCCTTTGGATTCTGTCTCCCTCTTTCTCTGCCCCTCCCCCACTCATGCTCGTTCGGGCTCTCTCTCTCTCTCAAAAATAATAAACATTTAAAAAATTTTAACAACGTCAGGACCTATAATTATGTTTCACCTTTTTATTTTAAAAATGTACAGAATTTCTTTACTCTCTGGAAAAAGGCATTGCCTAGAGGCAGAGATGTTGGATTAAGGGATGTCCGTGAAGTCTGGAATCCTAAACGTAAAACAAAAACCTCATTGGTCTGGAAAATTGTATCCTGGAAGAGTTCAAGGCAAACGAGCATTCATCAGAGGGAGTGAAATGCGCCACCACCACCCCACCCCCCGCCATGGATGACACCAGCACAGCTTCTGACATAAAAAATAGAAAGAAGAACATGTGACCCATACCAAAGATGGCTTTCCTTTCCACAGTGGTAGCAGCGATTGCATCTCTCTGCATCAAGGCGTGTCCTTTCCTAGGTCTTGGAAATCATGTGGGCAAACTGGCTAAGTGACATTCACATCCAAATAGGGAAACAGGAAGTGAGCCAGGGGACTTCACAGGCAGCAAGGAAGGCAGGGCCTCAGTGGTAGTTAGAAAAATGAGGGCCTGGTGGGTGCCAGCCCACAGAGACCCCTTATTGGTGTTATGGTCTTGGGCAAGGAAGAGTACCCACTAAAAACGAGGAATGACAGCTGGTTAATACCAGTGGGAAGGAGACTAAGCACAAATGTTAAAGTCCTTCAATGTCACTTGATGACAGTGGCAGTCCAGAGCAAAGTGCCCTTCCATTATTGCCTTTTAAGATTGTGGGAAGCAAAATTCATTTGGGTTTGCCGAGCACTTTGAGGTTCACATATGTGAATTGCTAATCTACTGAAACCTGCATCCTTTAGCAGATCCACTGGAATTGGCCTTGGCTTTCCCAGGGAAAAGATGGTTAAAAACTCAGTGTCTGGTTCCAGGGAGAAATAGACACTACCAATTCAAGAGTTTGGCCTGTCACCCTCCTGCTTCCCCAAGAGAAAGTCAGGTAACACCTGAATTATCCAGGGGTGGGGAGTAGAGTGTAATTTTATTGGTGTCGGTTGGCTAGAAAATCTGGAATCAACTCCAGATGGAGCCCAGGAGCCCTTTCTGCCGGGCTTTTTGAGTCTCTAGGTCAAAAGCCTGGACTCTAGTGGCAAATCTTACCTGATTCTTATTGACATAATGAAATGGGATTAGTGATAACCCTTTGCTGAAGCAAAAAGTATTGTCTACACCTACATGCCTACAGCCTAGAAGACTACTAACTCAAAAGGGTAACTTCCCCAACCAGGAAGGAAAGTATTTCTGAGCAGGAGCGAGTTCATTTTAGACTTGCGTGGCCACTTTGCGTGCAGAGGGAGAAGCTGACTGCTGTGCTAGATGGAAAAGAGTTGCTTTACTGCCACTGCTACCCTTTGAGGTTCTGTGGGATCCGAGGGCCTTTAGCATCCCAGAGAAGCACTTACATCTGAGCCTAAAACTCAGGTGAGGGTTTTCATTCTGCTACATTTCAGAGCCTTCTCTTAACCTCTCTCTTCCTTCTGGTCTCCTGATCAGTCTTCATCCAAATTTACCTGGATATTCTGCCAGGCTGCTCATCTTTTGCTACTACTCTGTGCCCTCTGTGTTTCTTCAGAGAATGAATCCCTTTGAGCAGTGGAGCAATTAGGAACTCCCAGATTTGTTTTGTTTTTTTTTTTAATGTTTTATTTATTTCTAGGAGATAGAGAGACAGCGTGAGCAGGGGAGGGTCAGAGAGAGAGGGAGTCACAGACTGAAACAGGCTCCAGCCTCTGAGCTGGCAGTCAGCACAGAGCCCGACGTGGGGCTCGAACCCACGAACCGCGAGATCATGACCTAAGCGAAAGTCAGACGCTTAACCGACTAAGCCACCCAGGCTTAGGATTTCCCAGATTTGTATTCCCAGTCAGCCTGAGTTCCTGTTTAGGATCTCCTTCCTTTCTAGATGGGATGTGACTCAAACCCAACAGCTGAACACGTTTCAGACAAAATTTGAACGGGTCTTTCTCTGACCCGTTCTCCATTCTTTTTTTTTCTTCCCAAACAAAAGTTCTCATGTATTTATTACTGAAACAACCTACTAGGGCAGAAGCATAGAAACAAAGAGGAAAACATTATTTTCCTAATAAAATATGTCCACCTGTCCAGAGAGAGTGGTGACCTTTTCAATATGATAGGGTAAGATGTTAGTGACCTTGATACTGTATGACTATGTGTGCCATCTCATAAGTGACTTATAGATTCAATTTGGTTCTTCTCCAATGTCTCTTCTTAGGGTTATACCTTATTTTATTACTAATTTTCATCAGAATCCATTGGGGAATGGGATGATTCTGCTTTTTTTTCTCAACCAGGAATCCCTTGACCCTAAAAGTCATGTAAGAAGACACAACGAGGCACAAAGTCAACTGCACACACCTTAATGGCAGAGAAAGGGAGGGATAGCCCTATCTTTTAAACTAGTTGCCATTTATCACTCTTTTAAATTAACATCACTTTCCCAGTGTTCCAGGCTAAAAGCTTTTAAATCTTTGGAGAGTTCTTTTTTTATTTTAAGTTTATTTATTTATTTTGAGAGAGAGACAGAGAGTGGGTGGGAGGGGTCAGAGAGAGAGGGAGAGAGAGAATCCCAAGCAGCTCTGTACTGTCAGCTCACAAAGCGTGAGCTCATGAATTGAGCTGAAATCGAGAGTCGAATGCTTAACCGATGGAGCCACCCAGGTGCCCCCATCTTTGGAGACTTCTTTAACATCACTCATCAAACTCAAAAGATAGTTTCTCAGTGTTATGATTTGTCCCCTTTCTTTTCTGTCTATTCTTTTGATTTCCATTGCTACCATCCATTCCCAAAATGCTCTTAACAACTCTCTCTCATAATCAATTACACACATAGTGTTAGACTAATTTCTCTTAAATCATGAACCATGTCACATCCCTACTCAAAAAACTTCCATTTTTAAGGAGGCTGATATTGTATTGCTTTTGTGATTAAGAAGAAAATGTTTTTGAAACTCTCCATCATCAAAGGTTGAATCTTGGCTTGGCATTCAGTCCTCTCTGTGGCCCTCTGTTTACTCCAGTTTCTTCCTGGGATGTGTCATTCTGGAATGATGCCTCACAGTAGTACCACCTTATCCGCACCTTTTCCATGGTTTCGGACACTCGTGGACAAATGCTGGTCTAAGCAAAGACGATTCTTCTTCTGAGGTATTGTCAGGAGGTCAACAGCAACCCAATGCTATGTCACAGAGCCTATGTCCTTCACCTCACTTCATCTCATCATGTATGAATTTTATCATCTCACATCATCACAAGAAGAAGAGTAAGTACAATACAATAAAATATTTTGGGAGAATGTGAGACAACACATTCACTTAACTTTTATTACATTATATTGTTATAATTATTCTGTTATTAGATATTGTGACTTACTGTGCCTAATTTATAAATTAAACTTTATCATAGGTATGTATATAGAGTAAAAACCGTAGTATATATAGAGTTCAGTACTATCTGTGGTTTCAAGCATCCATTGGGTGTCCCCATGGGGGATACATTACTCGGCACAAAATGCCCCACTCTGGATTCCGGGGACATAAGAATGCCTCAAGATATTAATAGGGATTCCATGATTAATTTCTCTGTTAAATTGTTTTTTCAACTAGAAGATTTTGCTAAACCTTTACTATTGATAATGGATGTTATTATGGTCTAGTGCCAACTTCCTTGACCATGTGATCTGTTTTCTTTTATTCTAAAAATACCCATTAACATCTCGGCAAACCCATAGTCAGTCGAACGTTGTCCGTGATTTGAAAAGGGCTGGTTCCGCATGCTGCCCTTGGCTAAGCCAGCTTCTGCCTCCCTAACTGCATCTGCCTCTCTTAGCAGTTGTATGGGATCAAGGAATAGTGCCCCATTTTGGAGGGGATACAACTGAGCTTCAGGGTTTTTTATTTGGCCAGGGTCACAAATAAACAAAACCAGAAGTTAGGTCTGACTTCCCATCCTGATATCTTTGCAATTGCCTGCTCTCTCTCCAAAGTCCTCCCGGCCACTTCAAACTAGACCTGGGCATGGTCACAGCTCTTCGGGCTGCAGCATAGAGAGGCAGGAAGGTCCAGAGAGAGGAATGAAATCACCAACTCCAGCCAAGCCTTTCCACCTGCTGGGGCCATGAGTGTGTTGGTGACTAACATTTTCTGTTCTTGATCCTTTAGTTATTGTTAATTTTGTATTAATTCACCACACAAAGTGAGGAGGAGGGTTCTCCTTCCTTTCTTCTCTCCCTTGTCCCTTCCTCTCTCTCTCTCTGTCTCCCTTTCTTTCCTCTTCCTTTCTTCCTCTCTCCCTTTCTCTCTCTCTCTCTTTCTTTCTTTCTTTCTTTCTTTTTCTCTTTCTTTCTTTCTTTCTTTCTTTCTTTCTTTCTTTCTTTCTTTCTTTCTTTCTTTCTTTCTTTCTTTTTTGAGAGAGAGAGAGCACACAGCGGAGGAGAGGCAGAGTCACAGGGAGACAAAGAATCCAAAGCAGGCTCCAGGCTCTAAGGTGCCAGCACAGAGCCTGACATGGGGCTTGAACCCACGAACTGTGAGATCATGACCTGAGCTGAAGTCAGACACTTCACAGACTGAGCCACCCAGGCCTCCCTCTTCCTTTCTTATCTCTATTATATAATACATTCCCAGAGGATAGAATCACATTCCTCAATATACACATAATAAATACACACATGCAGTTTAATAATATACACAATTACCTATAAACATTAAATGCCTGAGTCACCTACAATTTCTTAATGTCTCTTCATTTCTCCCTTCTGTGTCCCTCTTTGTATAGATAATCTCATGTTGGATATTCCAGAGAAGAAGTTAAGAAATCAGCTAGTCCACCTTCTACATTTCCCAAGTGAGGAGTGCCTAGAGAGGGTGTGACTTAGCTCGACAGCAAAGTGAGGGCCAAGCTGGTCCCTGGGCTGAGCCTGACTGAGTCTCAAAGACCAGAAATTCATCTCACCTTCGTGGGTGTTTAAACTCCAGGGGCAGAACAGGCGGCTTGGGGATCCAGGGTTTGTACTCATGTCTTGGGTGGAATTCAGCAGTCCCCAGGGAGCTCTGAGCACTAGGGAATCATGCCCCAAAGGTCTCACGTGTACCTTAGTGAGGGAAGTTTCCCTGTCACTGCTGAGCTGCTCCTGTCCGCCATGATAAGGCCTTTGGGCCAGTCCATGGGGAAGCAGCCATCAGGGCTTCCTGCCTTTGGCTTCCACCCAGACTTGAACAGGCTTGTCCTTCCTGTTGCTCAGCCTCTGACACATCTGATCACCGAGGCTCTGGGCTTCTGCAAGAGAATTTTCTTTCGGATTGTTGCTGAAGCATAGACAAGAGAGCCGGGAGAAAGAGATTTTCCCCCAGACATATAAAGATTATAGAAACAGATCTGTTCAGCACAGATTCTTCTCTTTTCCCCCTGAGACCTACACGGGGCTGGCAGTGGACGGATGGCAAGGTGAGCATTTCAAGGATGGCCTGGAATGAAAGAGGACACCTAGTGCCTCCACCTTATTTTGTTCTTTTGGTTCTAATCTTTCAAAAGTTAACTCATTCGTTCGAGGACAAGGCACCAGGGAGGAGTCATCTCTCTCTCACTCTAAATTTCAGGCCTCCTGTCTCCTTGCCCATGGGCTGTGACATCAGGCTCTTTCATGTCCCTCCAGGGGGATTCCAGTCCATATGCAGACATATGAGGCCAGCTTTGATTTTGTGCACACACAGAGGTAGTCAGTCCATAGGTTCTGATCTCTTAAATTGAAAGCCAGTGGTCTGGTGAGTGATACTTCTCACCACAGACTCAAGTCACCAACCTCAATTAGTGATTCAGGACTGTCCTGAGGGGGTTGATTCCAGCTTCTAGAATGTTCCTGAAAACGAAGCACCTTGCTGTCCACCAGAGAAACCCCTAGGAAGCCCCTGCATTGGGGCCTTCCAAAGCGAGGGAAGTTCCTAGGGTACTCGGAGCAGGGGTATTTATTTCTACACGTCCTGGGTTGGGAAAGCAACTTTTGCCTAGATTTATAGAGACTAACTTACCTTTTTTTTTTTTTAATTTTTAAAATGTTTTATTTATTTCTAAGAGAGACAGCATGAGAAGAGGAGGGTCAGAGAGAGGGAGGTACTGAAGATTCTCTTCAGAGAGAATCTGAAACAGGCTCCAGGCTCTGAGCTAGCCATCAGCACAGAGCCCGATGCAGGGCTCAAACCCGCGAACCGTGAGATCATGACCTGAGCTGAAGCCGGATGCTTAACTGACTGAGCCACCCAGGCGCCCCAAGACTAACTTACCTTCTTACTAACATAGGAGTCCCTAGAACCGCCTGGTCTTGGAAACCTTCATTCCTGCTCCAGGTGATGCTGAGAGCCAGGGGCTTGCAGCTTAGGGAGAGATGATGCTGTGGTAGGCGTTTCAGTAGAAGGCCCAGGTCCCAATAGAGTTGTCACCCATGGCTCCTCAGAGGCCTGTGATCACTTGTCTGGATGCTGTGGCGAGCAAGTCGAGTGGGAAGGGGCAGACTGACAGAGAAGTAAACAACATAATTTCAACTGATGATGATGATGATGATGATGATGATGGAAAGTAGTCAAGGGTGTGACACAGTGACTGGGGAGGGGCGGGGTGTGGCCAAGGCAGAAGTCATGGGCTTGCAAGCAGGTGGATTTGAGCAGAGACCTGGGAAGCGAGCATTCTGGGCAGAGGGGGATAGCAGGTGCCAGGGTCCTGAGGTGGCACCAGGTACGGGACAGAGAGCGACTGGCAAGCCGGTGGGCAGGGATGAGATGGGACAGGCTGAGAGGAGGCGAGCTTTTATTCTGATGGGAAGGGGGAACCATTCTGCAAAGCATCATGAGCTCTGTTTCCCACCAGATTTGGACTTTGTGATCTTCCAGCTGTCTGATTTCATGCCTACACTTCCTTTATTCAAAGATATTATTGAGCCTCCAGGGTGGCCAGACCTAAGAAATGAAAAGATATGACGCCCAGTTAGATTGGAATTTCAGATCAATAATGCACAGCCCTTTAGTGTAAATCTATCTGAGAATGTCAGAAATCTTCCATGTGCCAGGCCACCACTAGAAGTCATTCCAGGTTTGAGTAGTTCGTGTCACATGACCCCATAGCCTGGGGCCTTTGGAGGAACTGGTCAGATATAAAGGTTAGTATCTGGTGTAGCTTGGGAGAGAGAGAGATGAACCGGCTTCAAAAATCCACGTTGGCCCCAGACTGTGAACTTGAACTGGTGATACTTTTGGGTACCCTGACTCTGGTTAGATGCCCACATAGCATTCATCGAAATGCCTCTGGGGTTCATTGCATCACAAACATGTATCATGTTGTCTTGATTCTCAGATGGATCTATGTTCTGGCCTTTTTCTGAGAGTTAAGAGATGGGAGGGAAGCGCGTTCAGCACTCACCCACTGTCCCCACTGGCTGTGATCACCAAGGTAAGGTGTGGCTGTGAAGGTTGGAAGAATCCAGAGAGAGATGATGTGGCCATGGGCCACTCTTCCCATCACAGGGACTGAGGTGATACTGCTGTGGGGTCTGTCTGTGTGTGCCAAACCCACCTGACTCTGCACTCTGCAGTCAAGGCATGTGGGTGGCCCCAGAATCAGGCCAACCACAAATGTGGCCTGTGACCGTTTCAGGACACAGTCAGGGAGGGGTAAATAATCCCTGGAAAATAATCTCCTTAAGGTTTTGGGTCTGAGGAGAACTAGATGCCGAGAGAGAAACAGATCCTGTGAATGAGGGATTTGGGTGTGGCCCAGCTGGGACTTCCTTCTGTTGGCACCAGAAAGCTGAGGAATGTTCTGGAGGCCGGAAGAACTTCTTCAAGAGATGAATTCCCTTTCCCTTGGGAGGGGGCAGCTCAGGAAACAGGGTGGTAGCTGCTGGGCGGGGTGTTAGGAGCACTTGGATAAGGGACTGGCTCCGAGGCATCTGGTCTGGGTGGTTTGTGGTAATGTCAAGAATGCCCTGACCCCCATCACCTGCTGTTGGAGTCCACGTTATACAAGGGAGGGGGTCAGTGACCCCATCTTTGTTATTGTCACTGTCTGACACACACCCCCATGCACATTTAGCCCTGTCTGCA